AGAGAAAATGAGCTGGTGAGCCAAGTACAGGAAACCTGAACTTAGTCAAATGTTCATAGACTAAAAGAGTGTCAAAGAAAAGATAGGCCAGGCGTGGTGGCTCACGCCTGTAATCCCAGCACTTTCAGAGTCCGAGGTGGGTGGATCACTTGAGGTTAGGAGTTCAAGACCAGCCTGGCCAACATGGTGAAACCCTGTCTATATTAAAAATACAAAAATGCCAGGTGTGGTGGCGGGCACCCGTAATCCCAGTTACACAGGAGGCGGAGGCAGGAGAATTGCTTGAGCCTGGAAGGTGGTGATTGCAGTGAGCCAAGGTCATGCCATTGCACTCCAGCCTGGGAGACAGAGCGAGACTCCATTTCCAAAAAAAAAGAAAAAAGAAAAGATAGGCCTGTGTTCTTGAGAATGTAACAGAGATGGTGGCTCAAAAGTATTAGGAAACTGAGAAGTTTACCTCTGACCGCGATGCCAAAGAATGATAAAATGAGAAGATGCAATGGGGATGGGGAAGCTTTCTGATTAACTTAGTTTATAATGGGACATTTTCAGAAGATGGATAGTAAGGGTAAAAGCAAGTGTGAGTTAAACGCAGAGTAAACGAGACCTGCAAAAAAAGTAGGTAGATTAAAAGAACCTTTTAGCGTTTGGTTTGGTGCAGTTTGGTGACTAGGAAAGGAGTCATTGCCTTGGACTAGTTGTATAATGGCCAGGGATTACAGAGTGGAGATAAAATTTTTGTTGCTTTTGTCTTTTCTATTAAGAAGAAGGGTGTTCAAACCAAATGACAGATCCTAGAGCAGAGTAGGAATTTGTGAAGAGAATCCCCGTCTGTGATTTTTTAGGAATGCTGGGAGTCTTCAAGGGGAGTTTAACAATGACACCCATCTTTCCTGCCCACATTCTGAATGTTTAAGGCAAAAGAGGAAAACATATTGGGGCCACAGTACCCCCTTTACTACCAGTAGAGCAGATACCGGCAAACGTGTGCACTTCCTAATACCAAATTCCAGCCTTAACCCAGAGTCACCGGAATGGGGCGGTCCTCTCTCCAGGCTTGCTTCCAAGGAGGGAAAAGAGGCCTTAAGTGCTCTGATAAAATAAAGGTGGATGTCTTCTGTGTGGAGGCTCAGATCAGAAATGGGAAAGAAGCACCCCTCCACTATAAGAAAGTGGGGAGAATGGTGAATTTTTTTTCTTTTTTTTTTTTTTTTTTTGAGATGGAGTCTCCCTCTGTCGCCCAGGCTGGAGTGTGGTGGCGCGATCTCGGCTCACTGCAAGCTCTGCCTCCCGGGTTCAAGCGATTCTCCTGCCTCAGCCTCCCAAGTAGCTGGGACTACAGGCACCTGCCACCACGCATGGCTAATTTTTTTTTTGTATTTGTAGTAGAGACAGGGTTTCACCACGTTAGCCAGGATAGTCACGATCTCCTGACCTCGTGAACTGCCCGTCTCGGCCTCCCAAGATGCTGGGATTACAGGCATGAGCCACCGCGCCCAGCGTTTTGTGTTTTTTGTTTGTTTGTTTTTTGGTGTTTCTCTCTGGTGTCCAGGCTGGAGTGCAGTGGCACGATCTTTGCTTACTGCAACCTCTGCCACCTGGGTTCAAGCGAGTCTTGTGCCTCAGCCTCCTGAGTAGCTGGGATTACAGGCGCTTGCCACCACGCCCCACTAATTTTTGTATTTTTAGTAGAGATAGGGTTTTGCCATGTTGGCCAAGCTGGCCTAAAACTCCTAGCCTCAAGTGATCCTCACCCAACTCGGCCTCCCAAAGTGCTTGGGATTACAGACGTCAGCCACCGTGTCCAGCCTGGGGAAATTTTTTAAATGTTTTCTGAAAGGAGAAATAAGAAAAAAGTAGCTGAAAGATCGATGAATTTGGTCCCAGTTCCAGGAAAGAATCTAGATTATCAAAAAGATTGCTTTTGAGTACATATGGCAGTAATCGATAATCATAGTTTGCTAATAAGTTTTCATGCATTCCCTTCATTGGTAAAAATGCTGGCATAGAGTAATAATATAGCTGTTGTATTCTACTTTAACAGGCCGTTTGACAAGCTGTTTTGGACGAGATGGAAATATATTGGCTAAACATTAAAACAGTTGTGTAGATTAGTAACTGACAATTCTCAGGCTGATGGCTTCATATTGGAAGGAAGCGTTAGTGGCATATGATTAGATTATCCTCGGGCCGGGCGCGGTGGCTCAAGCCTGTAATCCCAGCACTTTGGGAGGCCGAGACGGGTGGATCACGAGGTCAGGAGATCGAGACCATTCTAGCTAACTCGGTGAAACCCCGTCTCTACCAAAAAATACAAAAAACTAGCCGGGCGAGGTGGCGGGTGCCTGTAGTCCCAGCTACTAGGGAGGCTGAGGCAGGAGAATGGCGTAAACCCAGGAGGCGGAGCTTGCAGTGAGCTGAGATCCGGCCACTGCACTCCAGCCTGGGCGACAAAGCAAGACTCCGTCTCAAAAAAAAAACAAAAAAACAGATTATCCTCAGCTTTATCAAGTTCAGCATTCCCATCCGTGTTGGGATGGGGGAACACAAACTGGGAATAAGTAGAATAATAGGATCAACAAGAACTTGGTGGGGTGACTGTGAAGTTAAATATGATAGAGGTTCATTCATTTAATAGATATTTATGGAGCATCTTTTATATGCCATGCTCATAAAGATATATGTAAGGTCTTAAGCTCAAATAAAAAATCAATTAATAAAAAGCTGAAGGCCAGGTGCAGTGGCTCATGCCTGTAATCCCAGTGCTTTGGGAGGCCAAGGCGGGCGGATCACGAAGTCTGGAGTTCGAGACCTGCCTGGCCAATATGGTGAAACCCCGTCTCTACTACAAATATAAAAAATAGCTGGGTGTGGTGGCACGCTCCTGTAGTCCCAGCTACTCAGGAGGCTGAGGCAGAAGAATCACTTGAACCCAGGGGGTGGAGGCTGCAATGAGGTGAGATCACGCCACTGCACTCCAGCCTGGGTGACAGAGTGAAACTCCATCTAAAAAAATAAAATAAAACCCAGCTACATGGGTTAAATATTACATGAAGGAACAAAAGCATATTTTTAAATATTATAGATTTTAACTAACATTACGCTTAGTGTGTGAATCAGGAGTTATGATCACCGGAGAAAGTGACATCTTAGGCATTATTAGTGAAAGCACAGCTTTTAACAGAATGGTTAGGAATGGCCGGGTCTGCTTGGTGTTGAACTAACTACTCTAGAAAATACTTTTCTGTTCTTGGCTCTTCACTGAGGGATGGAAGGAGATATAGGTGAAAGAACTGATCATATTGAACCTGAAGATGAGACGCAAGGGAACTGTAATCATTGACTGAAGACATTTGAATAACCAGCCTGTGGAATAATGTGAACATTATAATCTCTAAGCATCTGACATGGATTAACTCATAAAATCTAATAACTGAAGTTAATATTGTTGTCATTCCAGTTGGAGATCAGGAAAGTAAGGGTCAGAAAGGCTAAATAAGTAACTTGCTCTGAGTCAGCTTAGAAATGGCAGAGCTGGGCTGGGAGCAGTGGCTCATATTTGTAATCACAGCACTTTGAGAGGATGGCTTGAGCCTAGGAGTTTGAGACCAGCCGGGAGGTCAGGGCTGCAGTGAGCCATGATCATGCCACTGCATTCCAGCCTGAGTAACAGAGTGAGACCCTGTCCCAAAAAAAATAAAAATTGGGGAGGCAGGCAGAGCTGGGATTACAAACCTAGGCAGACTGCCTCTAGAACTAAAGTCCTTTTTTTTTTAAGTCCTTTTTTTTTTGAGACAGAATTTCACTCTTGTTGCCCAGGCTGGAATGCAAAGGCACGATCTTGGCTCACCACAACCTCTGCCTCCCAGGTTGAGGTGATTCCCCTGCCGCAGCCTCCTGAGTAACTGGGATTACAGGCATGCGCCATCACGCCCAGCTAATTTTGTATTTTTAATAGGGACCGGGTTTCTGCATGTTGGTCAGGCTGGTCTCAAACTCTCGACCTCAGGTGATCCACCCACCTCGGCCTCCTGAAGTGCTGGGGTTATAGGCACGAGCCACCACAGCCGGCTCTAAAGTCTTTTTTTAATCTTTTTTTTCTTTCCCCCCCAAAGAGATGGGATCTTGTTGCGTTGCCGAGGTGTTCTCAGTCTCCTAGGCACAAACAATTCTCCCAATCTGCTGGGATTTAACAGGCATGAGCCACTGTACCCAGCCTGTAGGACTAAACTCTTGACCAGTGTGCTACACTACTTGGCACTCATGGGCACGTGCTTAAGTTTGTTCTCCATGGCCCCAACCAGTCCAGTGGGTTCAGTAGATGAGGGTGCAGGGAAGCTCATTTCCGCTTACTTAAATCATCTTAGAGGAGCAAACCAAAGATGGGAGGGAATCCTCTGTCAGCAGAGCTTCCTGCAGCCTAGCCTAACTCACTCCTGAGAACACGGAGGAGGACCCTGCCGGGCCATTGACCTTCCAGGCTCTTTTATGCTGGCTCTTTTTTTACACTGCCACTCTGTGGGTGTTAGCTATCAGAAGCCAGGAGTTGAAACTCATGTCTCCTATTTACAAGTTAATATATTTGTCTTATTTGTATCACAGAAATACTGTCACATAATTATTTTTTATTAGCTTTATGCAATGTAGCATGTTTTGTTTTATGGCACATTTCCACTAATAATTTCTCGGTTGGATAAAAAGCCATATTGTCATCAATTTTTTTTTTCTTGAAGATGTTTTCCTGAATATAAAATTTATGCTTTTTACTGTAGAAAATTGGAAAATCTAAGAAGAAAATTTAAAAACTCTTGTAATCTCACTGCTCCAAGATAATCATTGTTAACACTTCAGTGTATTTTTCCTGTTAACATATTTTTCACAGAAAAGTTTGAGAACACTTGCTTTAGATTCATCAAGATTCTTCTCACAGAAAAACCATTTTATTTTGATAAATTCTGAAGATTCCTTTTCTCTTCTTTCTTTTTTATTTTTTTGGCTAGGTTTCTGCCTCAATGCTCAAGCAGTTTCCCAACAGTGGCCTGAGTCCAGGTCTTTTCAATGTGGGGCCCCAGTTATCTCCTCAACAAATTGCCATGCTGAGCCAGCTTCCACAAATTCCCCAGTTTCAGTTGGTAAGTAGCAGATTTTCTTCCTGTGGCTGAAAAGGTCATTTGCTTTTTTTTTTTTTTTTTTTTTTCTCTTTAGCTTTGATTTGCTTCCCACATCTTTGCCACTTTCTATGTTCAAAGGATGCTAGTCCACACTTCTAGGCAGACTATGGAGTGTGCTTCAGGGTTGTCACTCAACTGGAGGAAAATGTAACCAGGAGACCAGGAATTTGGTGTTACTTCCCTCCTGGATACTTTAGAACTGTGTGACCTGTACGTCAGTGCACAGACCCTTTAGGTGTCCTCAGTAAATCAGTCTCAGGAAACTTTGGTTCTCTGTCTATCCCCCTTGTTTTGTAGGCATGTCAGCTTCTCTTGCAGCAGCAGCAACAGCAGCAGTTGTTACAGAACCAGAGAAAGATTTCTCAAGCTGTACGCCAACAGCAAGAGCAGCAGGTACGTGGGTGGACGGGGTCCCTCCAGTGTTGTGTTTGAGGAGTACCTCCCGGCTTAGCCTCTTATGGCAAAGAACCGGGCACAGTCTCTTCCTGGGAAGTTCGGGGCTGTGCTTATCACGTGTCCGTCTCTCTTGGCCCGCAGCTGGCTCGAATGGTGAGTGCACTGCAGCAGCAGCAGCAGCAGAGGCAGCCGGGCATGAAGCACTCGCCCTCTCATCCTGCTGCTGGACCCAAGCCGCATCTGGACAACATGGTCCCCAACGCGCTGAATGTGGGGCTCCCAGACCTTCAAACCAAAGGGCCAATACCTGGATATGGTTCTGGTAAGTTGTTAGTAGAGAAAATTACCTTTTTAGAAATCTACCCCTCCAGGCCTGTGATAGGGGTTGCGCCTGCATTACCCTCCGTTTTTATGTGAGCTGTACAAGGTAGGTAAATATTCTTACCCCTGGTTTACACATGAGCCATCTGAGGCTTCTTGAGTTTCAGTGGGTTTCCAAAGCTCACCACACGGTTACTAAATAGCTGAGACAGGCCTCTAACTTCTCTGGCTTCAAAGCAGTCTTTCAGTATATGTGTATGAATGGCAAACTGCTCTCCTACCGCCAGGAATTTTGAAAACCCTGTTTAAACGCTTGTGCATGCTGTGAGTGGTACACATGGCTGAGGTTATGATCTCTTAAAATATGTACTCGTTTGAAATGTTTTAGTATACTCATATTAATACAATTGCCTTCTGTCAAAAAATGAACTAAAATTATAATGCAGATTGGTACAAATTCATCTGATATTAGTATTTCATCTGATTTAAATAGAACAAGTAAGGTTATGCCTTTAACATTCTTCAAGACTTTTTTGGCAGGCAAATCATAGCTCTTTCAGAACTGGAAAACATGGTGTACGCAGAATCTAATTGGTGAGGAAACAGTGATTTCAAAATAAAATTTAAAAATGGAAAAGATACCACACACCATCACAGTTTCGTCTCAAACTGACAACATTTAGAATTTATCTTGTAAAGAAGATACTGTTCTACGCACACTCAAAAAACAAGAGTTGGGCCGGGTGCGGTGACTCACACCTGTAATCCCAGCACTTTGGGAGGCTGAGGCAGGCAGATCACGAGGTCAGGAGTTCAGGACCAGCCTGGCCAACACAGTGAAACCCCATCCCTCCTAAAAATACAAAAATTGCCGGGCGCGGTGGCTCATGCCTGTAATCCCAGCACTTTGGGAGGCAGAGGCAAGCGGATCACGAGGTCAGGAGATTGAGACCATCCTGGCTAATACAGTGAAACCTCGTCTCTACTAAAAATACAAAAAGAAATTAGCTGGGCGTGGTGGCGGGCGCCTATAGTCCCAGCTGCTCAGGAGGCTGAGGCAGGAGAATGGCGTGAACCCGGGAGGCGGAGCTTGCAGTGAGCCGAGATCGCGCCACTGCACTCCAGCCTGGGCGACAGAGCAAGACTCTGTCTGAAAAAAAAAAAAATACAAAAATTAGCCTGGCGTGGTAGCACACACCTGTAATCCCAGCTACTGGGGAGGCTGAGGCAAGAGAATCATTTGAACCAGGGAGGCGGAGGTTGTAGTGAGCTCAGATTGCGCCACTGCACTCCCGCCTGGGCGACAGAGTGAGACCCCGTCTCAAAGAAAAAAAAAAGAGTTGGGAAGACATGAAATTGCTGGTTCTAGGTGGCAGTGTGACCCCGGACAAATGACAGCAGCTAACTATGCGCCAACCCCGTGATCCTCCTACTGCATGTGCAGGGGGTGAGCAAAGACTTCAAGGTGTTCTTGATCTGGGTATTTTAATGGAATTACTTTGTAGATCCTCAACTTCCACCAACTGTTTTCATTCTTTTTTTTTTTTTTTTTTTTTTGAGACGGAGTCTCGCTCTGTCGCCCAGGCTGGAGTGCAGTGGCCGGATCTCAGCTCACTGCAAGCTCCGCCTCCCGGATTCCCGTCATTCTCCTGCCTCAGCCTCCCGAGTAGCTGGGACTACAGGCGCCCGCCACCTCGCCCGGCTAGTTTTTTGTATTTTTTAGTAGAGACGGGGTTTCACCGTGTTAGCCAGGATGGTCTCGATCTCCTGACCTCGTGATCCGCCCGCCTCGGCCTCCCAAAGTGCTGGGATTACAGGCTTGAGCCACCGCGCCCGGCCCTGTTTTCATTCTTAAAGATGATCTGCCTGATAACTGACTTAAATTCGAAATAACTTTTCTTGCACTTGATACAGAAGAAGGTCAGCTCTGTGCTTATCTGGGCTGAAGAACACCAGGGTACCAAACATGGGGGAGCCTCCCTTGATTGCTAACAAAGGTGTCCTACGCTGGATTTCCTTCTTTTTTTTTGAAGCAGAGTCTCATTCTGTTGCCCAACCTCCACCTCCCGCAACCTCCACCTACCTGGTTCAAGCGATTCTCCTGCCTCAGCCTCTTGAGTAGATGGGATCACAGGCACATGCCACCACTCCCAGCTAATTTTTGTATAGTAGAGTTGGAGTTTCACCATGTTGGTCAGGCTGGTCTTGAACTCCTGACCTCAGGTGATCCACCTGCCGTGACCTCCCAAAGTGCTGGAATTACAGGCGTGAGCCACTGCACCCGGCCGATTCTTATTTCAAACGGCTAAAGGATCAGAGTTAAGCATACACATATATACACATTTACTGAAGAAATTTTATGATTTTTGTCATACTCCTATTTCATAAGTAACTTGTAAATTTAGCTATGCATTATATTATTCCATATTAAAGAGAAGTATTGACTTATTAGCTTGTTTCTATATTTGTTAACTTCTTAAACAATAGATAAATAAATATTTTTAGGTCTCATTTTCATTGTGACCTGACCATTTATAATCTGCATTATAAGATAGATATGTTTTGTCATTTATTTCACTTACAATTTTCCTGACTGGGCACGGTGGCTCACACCTGTAATCCCAGCACTTTGGGAGGCTGAGGAGGGCAGATCACTTAAGGTCAGAAGTTCAAGACCAGCCTCCAACGCGGTGAAACCCTGTTTCTGCTAAAAATACAAAATATTAACCGGACGTGGTGGCAGGCACCTGTAATCCCAGTTACTCGGGTGGCTGAGGCAGGAAAATAGCTTGAACCCAGGCAGCAGAGGTTGCGGTGAGCTGAGATCATGCCACTGCACTCCAGCCTGGCAACAGAGCAAGACTCCATCTCAAAAATAAAAATTTTTTTCCTTAGTTAGCATGATTACATTTATTTGAATTGAAGAATACATTTTAGGACTGAAAGTTAGATTTGGCTGCCTGTTTTGAATAGATTATTTGATGAAAATATATTTAAAGCATATATAGAAATTAAAATTTATTTTCTAATAAAATGCCAAAGATGTAATGAAATGAACAGTATTTCAGTTTTCCTGATGCTAAGTATGTTGAACTAAAAAGGATACCTCTGGGTGAAAGAATAGCAAGAATAATTGAAAGTTTCTTGGTATGTCTTGATAAAGCTTCTTTGTTACATTATCTCAAAATTAAGAATTTGAATGCCTAATGACTGCTTAACTAATCCTTATTGATTCTTTTGTAAAACAGATGGTTTCTAATTCTGTCCTTTTAGCAAAATTGAAAATACACCTAATTAAGGCTGAGTGCAGTGGCTCATGTCTGGTAATCCCAGCACTTTGGGAGGCTGAGGTGGAGAGTGAGAGAGGGAGAGAGAGAGAAAGAATACCTAGTTGCATTGTTAGGTGATAATGACCTATCTAAAAATTATATTTTAGTATCTATGTTACTGGGCTAGGGGGAAGAACATATACTTTAAAAGAAATTCGGAGAAGTAATTCATGTTATAACAAGACTCCTTCTGTTCCCATCTACTTATTTATATGAGTAAGATTTCTTAGTGCTTTATGTCAACAAATTTAAAATAAGATAGTAGAGAAAACTCTCATTATAGTAAGGAGTCTTGGTTACCGTGGATATCTGAACTCATTTAGAAACAAAGTGATTCATCTTCTTAGAATATGCGTTTCTGATAAAATTTCACTTTTTATGTTTAAAATTTATCAAAATTTATAATATTTATTTGTGTATACCTGTGAAAAGTAAAGCTGTATAAATATTGGAGATTATAAAAATGACAGAAGAGTAATTGTATCTATGCTGCAATTATGATTGTGTTGATATCAGGTGTACACGTGGACATGGACTTAGAACAGTTGTGTTAGGATGGCCAATTATGGGTGATTTTTAAAAAATAATTATAGTTATAGAAACTAGTTTGCTTTTTAATGTATAGTAAAAAGAGGAGAAAACAGAACTGTAAACAAAGAGTGAAGGCAAGATCAGTATAAGGACAAGTTAATTTAAGAGCATTTCCTCAAGGATGTAAGAACGGAGCCAAATGTTAGTCATGAACAGACCATGAATTAGGGTGTGTGAAGATGAGAGTAATTCTGGCAAGGACAGATGAGGCAGGCAAAGGGTTGTCCTTGCGTGAATGATAAAAGCAGGTGATAGGCAAGGGGCATGTCTTATCTCTGCTTGTACCTCAGCTCCTAACAACAAGGCCTGGCACAGAATACATTGTCCATAAATATTCATTGAACTTAACTAAATGGCTTAATTTGAGCTAAAGCTCTGTGTTTGTGGGCTGGAAATTTCAGGGAAACCACTTGGTGGACTGAGGAAATTTGGTTTTGCTATAGTGGGAAGTACAATGAAGTCAGTATTTTCTTGGGTTTAGAGGTATGATAGCTTGTACATAGCCAAAGGTCACTAGCAAAGCACTGTCTCTTCTTTGTTAATGCAGCCACTAGAGCACAGTGTCCCAGAATTCCTTCCATCAAAATCCACCAGACACACTCCATATCCTAGCGTCATGCCGGTTACTACGTGACATCCAAGAAAATTATGTACATCTTCGCCTGATTTTTCCTCTTATACTTTGGGGTTTGTAGATTGAACCTTTCAAGGCAATTTTCTCACCTATTCTTTCTCTGATCCCTTGGATTATTTTTCCTGACCAAACCTAGTGAGGCAGTGCTGAGACTGCCCTACTGTGGTGGTACTTGATCCCCAAGTCTCTAGTGAGAAAGGTGACCATTTCTCTAAGGTTCTCGGAGCTGCTGAGCTCTTTCCTTGCGTGCTTAACTTTTTCTTTCTCTTTCTCTTTTTCTTTCTCTCATTCTTTTTCTTTCCTTCTTTCCTTTTCTTTTTCTCTTTTTTTCTTTTTTTGCCCTTTTTCTATAACTCTTCAATTTTCTGCATTTCATTTGTCACCAAAAAAACTCTAAGCAGTTGAAATTAAAGAAATTTAATTCACTGGCCAGGCACGGTGGCTCACGCCTGTAATCCCAGCACTTTGAGAGACTGAGGTGGGCATCTCATGAGGTCAGGAGATTGAGACCATCCTGGCTAACATGATGAAACCCTGTCTCTACTAAAAATACAAAAAAATCAGCTGGGTGTGGTGGCGGGCACCTGTAGTCCCAGCTACTCGGGAGGCTGAGGCAGGAGAATCGCTTAAACCCGTAGGCAAAGATGGCAGTGAGCCGAGATTGTGCCACTGCACTCGAGCCTGGGCAACAGAGCGAGACTCGGTCTCAAAAAAAAAAAAAAAAAAAAAAAGAAGAAAGAAAAAAAGAAAAGAAATTTAATTTACTATGGGTTTTATAGAAATTTTAGAGTAACTTCAAAGAAAATTAACATGTAAGGAATGGTTCCTCCTCTTCTTAATAATGCTAGCATTCATTTTAATCTTTGCCAGAAACCTAGGTTATTTCCAAAAGCTCTTTCTCAATGATTAGAACTAAGTTTTTAGGTGGCCTGGAATCCAAGCACCTTGGCCTGGTTTTTTCAAAGGCAGAAGTGTAATTTACCCAAGGAGCAACCTGCTTAGGCCATTAAGGCTATGTCAGAGAAAACCTTTGTTCCTTGCAACCTCTTGCCCTCCAGTCTAATGACATTTCTGCTATCTAGGATGAAAGAAAGAAAAAAATGCCTCCAACTCTTCTTTTTAAAAAAAAAAAAAATAGGCTGGGCACGGTGGCTCATGCCTGTAATCCCAGCACTTTGGGAGGCCGAGGCAGCTGGATCACGAGATCAGGAGATCGAGACCATCCTGGCTAACATGGTGAAACCCCATCTCTACTAAAAAAATACAAAAAATTAACCAGGCGAGGTGGCGGGCGCCTGTAGTCCCAGCTACTCGGGAGGCTGAGGCAGAATGGCGTCAGGAGGCGGAGCTTGCAGTGAGCCGAGATCGTGCCAGTGCACTCCAGCCTGGGCGACACAGCGAGACTCCATCTCAATAATAATAATAATAATAATAATAATAATAATAATAATATAATAATATTAAGGCCAGGCACGGTGGCTGATGCCTGTAATCCCAGCACTTTGGGAGGCCGAGATGGGCAGATTGCCTGAGCTCAGGAGTTCGAGACCAGACTGGGTAACAGGGTGAAAACCCATCTCTACTAAAAATACAAAAAATTAGCTGGGCATGGCTACGGTGTGTAGTCCCAGCTACTCGGGAAGCTGAGGCAGGAGAATTGCTTGAACCCAGGAGGTGGAGGTTGCAGTGAGCCAAGATCGCGCCACTGCACTCCAGCCTGGGTGACAGAGTCTCCATCTCCAAAATAATAATAATAACAATAATTTCATTTGAAATATTTTCATCTCATTCTAAAGATTTCTGCTCCCCCCCTCCCGAGTCATCTTGAACTAGTAAATTGAGTTACAAAGTGTGAAAGAACACTGTTCTTTATATAAATAGCAACATTTTTCACATGGGTCAGGAAGGTATTCAACTTTTACTTGATTTATTATGTGTTCATAAAACTATCCCAGACAACTAGGATAAGCACAGGGGAGGAAAAACACAACCTGGGCCCTTAGTGGTATTTGAATAGATGGAAATTGAGGGCCCTTTATGGGTGTAGTGTGGAGTCTGGCCTGGCTAGAGTTACACATCTCGGGGCAGAGAAGCTTGGCTCTGCCATAGTGGGAGCCTTGCTTGCCTCCCTGGGATGCCTGCGCTTGTGCTGCTGCTCTGTGCTCCCTGTGGCTCATTCTCATTTTTGTCCCGTTTCATCATTTTAGTCCTTTATTTTACTTTTTTGAGAGTTTTTACGAACAGGTGTCACGTACATTCTGACCCAAATGAATGATGGACCCTGTTAGACTCCATCACCCAGCTTCTGCTGTGTGGCTTCCGGCTCTCCAGCTCTGTGAACTGGGAAAACGTTACCCACGGAGACTCTTCCCCTGAAGTTTACCTGGGGCTCATGGCAAAGTGAACTCAGAATCTCAAACTACCCACCTGCTCAAGCTTTGGGGTCTTCCTCATTGCTTAAAGACTACTTTCCGGCGGGGCACGGTGGCTCATGCCTGTCATCCCAGCACTTTGGGAGGCCGAGACAGGTGGATCACAAGGTCAGGAGATCGAGACCATCGTGGCTAACATGGCGAAACACCGTCTCTACTAAAAATACAAAAATTAGCCAGGCGTTGTGGCGGGTGCCTGTAGTCCCAGCTACTCAGGAGGCTGAGGCAGGAGAATGGCATGAACCCAGGAGGCAGAGCGCAGTGAGCTGAGACTGCACCACTACACTCCAGCCTGGGCAACAGAGCGAGACTCCATCTCAAAAAAAAAAAAAGACTACTTTCAAATTTTTCTTTCTGATTTGCCCTGACCTCCACCCACCCCACGCTCAGGCTGCCAATTCTCTTCCTAAAATACAACTAGTTATCCTCTAACATGCTTAAAATTTTCACTGTCCTCTTGTCCTAGAGAGAAAAAAGATCCCAACTCCTTGGCCTAATATATAAAGACCCTACATGACACGACTCTTCATTTCTCCCCATCCCCCAGCACTCTCCGCCTCACTTCATCCCAGAGTTAGCTAAACATTGGAATCATTGGAACGTGTCACCATTCCCTAAACACACTTGATTATCAAGAGTCAGAGCTTTGTACTTGGTTTGCTTGACTTCCCCAAATAGCTACGTTAGGCCCTAGATCACATGTTCCTTCTGCAAAGCCTTTCCTCCCCCGAGATACCCTGACTACAGCTCTGTCACTGCTGTTACACTACATTGGCTGGATGTAGTCTTCTCCATCTCAGTTGGAGAGTGGCTGGCCCCAGCATCCCGTCTGGCACAAATGTCAGCTAAATGAAAAAGGGCCTGCAGGAATGCACTGAGACAGACCTAATCGATGGCAGTCATACGTGTCTTCACACCTTCACAGAGAGACGTCACTTACTTAGCGAGCAAGAGCCTCGATCAAAGCTTGGAATCAAAAATACCTGTTTCTGAGTGGAGAAACTCTGTGAATTAGTCTTTGAATGACACTTGAAGGCATTCGTGGGCTGTGCTTCAGAACTCTTGGTACTGATGCTAGAGACTTACAAAATGTGGTCTTCTCCTTTTTAGGCTTCAGCTCTGGCGGCATGGACTATGGCATGGTTGGTGGGAAGGAGGCTGGAACTGAGTCTCGCTTTAAACAGTGGACCTCCATGATGGAGGGGCTGCCCTCTGTAGCCACACAGGAAGCCAATATGCACAAAAATGGTAAGAGAAGCACTGAAAGCTAGAGTCCCCAGCTCACACCAGGTCTTGATGAAACATTCTATAATACTGTTTTGAAGTACAGAACTTGGTATTCTTTTCCTCCTGAATCCTGTGATTGCCTGTGGAGGAAGGTCACAGTCATGTGTATGTTGAATTACAAGAAATGTAAAGTGCTAGTTCTAATTAAAGAGAGCAGAATTTTTCAGCTACCATGATTGAGGGTAGTAGCAGTGAACTTGGGCACCCACCAAGGTGAAACCCTAATAAGTTGGCTGAGGGAACAGGGTCAGGTTGTTGAGTTTGTTTTGCTTTGTTTTGTGGAGCAAGGGACCGTAATAATACCTGTCTTGTTGGTTGGTTTGAACCATATTAAGTTTATCAGCTTTTTAAAAAATTCCTGTCTTTTAATCTCCGAAAGATGACTAATAGATCATAATACTTGAGATTTGAACTTTTCACAAAGCTTTCTTGTTCTATGTGAATTACAGTGTCTGCAAGTCAGCGTTGAAGGGCATTGCAGGCTTTGGTGGTGATGTTGGTCGGCTTTTCCTCTCAATTTCTCTCTGTAAGGGCTTCTCCATTTCCTGTAAAACAGATAAAAGGTCTCAGAACCTTCCTTCAGCCTTTGTTTCAGTGTTTGTTTCATTTGACAGTAATTCACTTGGACTTAACTGTATCCATGAGAACCAAGTATAAATAGGTGTCTGGCTGTTCCTGCTGCAGGGCCCTGGCAGGCCTCAGCCCCAGCCAAGTCATTCAGTCTGAAGCCTTTCAGGTTTCCTTCATAAACCACTCTTTAATGAGCCCATCCAGGAGGCCGGTGAAATAGCCACGTGGAGCTCTCTGCCTGCCATCCCTGAGCATTATCGTTTGGTTTCATGGCATGAAGTCAAAAGTGATTTATTGAAATTGTAAAATCTGTTTGTGGACTGAATAATCTAAGCCCACTGTCATCTATAGCTTTGGGTGCTTTCAATGCTTCCTTAGGCTGATGATTCACCAGGTCCCCTTGTCCCCAAAGACATGATAGGTGCATGATAATAAATATGAAATGGCATGTGAGAGGGTATCTCGAAGGCAAAATCTCTAGTTGCCTTTTTAGAGCTTATAGATCATGTTTTCCCATCTCCTTAGCAATCCCCAAAGTAATTGAGCTTTTCATTTTCCACTGCTTCACCATAATGCACCTCTGAGCCAGATTTGTCAGTGGCTCCAGAAAAGTAAATGTCCTCTTAGCTGAGCATGGAGATAGTTTTCATAATATTCCCATTAGGCTGCATCACCCTGGAAATAATTTTATCCCTTCACAAGCAGCATCCTAAGAATAGATCAAGTGACCCAATACCGTATATAAAATTCATTTGAGAAGTAAGTAGACTGGTATCTCACTGACGCCTAAAATTTTATTTAAAGTGCATGTTTTGTTAGTTCAAGGCAATTTTAAGCTTTTAATTCTTTTCCTGCCCCGTAGCATATAAAAATGCATGATGGGGGCAACGACAAAACCACTGAAGTGCTCTCAGGAAACCAGTTACAAAGGATTTGCTGTTCTTCATATGTGAGGCCATGGATCCCAGAGCTGCAGAGTTCATTGCTGGTCTTGTGCTGGCAAAGACCCTAGGCGGGAATTCCATCTCATTGCGTTGGAATTTAAAGTAATTGCAGATGCTTTTCCCTCCAATGGACTCTCTGTTTACACTACTGCTTCCAGCTAATCTAAGCCTGATCAGCCAGCCCTTAAGAACCTGGGTGGGTAGCATCAGTGGAAATTTAGTTAAAACCTTCTTATGTGCTACAAATTGTTAGAATTTTCCCCATTTCTCACTCTTGAGTCGTTAGCATAGAAACTAGGGATAATGGTCAGATTCCTCATATGTGAACGTTTCATTAATTTCCTAAGACCATGGAATTTTAAAACTGAAAGGAACATTCGAGCATGAGAACAATCTTGTGTGCCTAAGTGAGGAACTGAGAGTCTCAGAGAGGCGAAATGACTTGTTGGGCATGCTGCTTAGTAATTATGTGCTGAGTCTCGAATGCAACCTCTTATTCCAGTGCTGTTTGTATATACTCCATCAGCTTCAGAAGACTGTTTGTTTGCATTCCAATGAATAAAAAATAGACAAGTTCTATTCATAGGAGTTATTCTGGATGATTTAATCTCCTCTCTTTTCTTCAGGCGCTATAGTGGCCCCTGGTAAGACCCGGGGAGGGTCACCGTACAACCAGTTTGATATCATCCCTGGTGACACACTGGGTGGCCATACGGGTCCTGCTGGTGATAGCTGGTTACCTGCCAAATCTCCACCAACAAATAAAATCGGAAGTAAATCCAGCAATGCCAGCTGGCCTCCAGGTATTGTCCAGGAAATGCTTTTCCAGGATAGCATTTGTTTTGTAATTGTGAGTTTCAGGTTCAGAATACATTGCTTTCGTGACTCATGTTACTAAGGTACTTGCTTTCATTTTTTCATTCAATAATTGTTAGAAGCAAGGCATGTGCTGTGGGAAGACAGAAGATTTTCATTAGTTGGGGAATCTGGGGATAAGTGACATTGTAGCTGGGACTTGGCATTCGTCCCATGCATAGGATGCCTTGTAACATGGGTTCTTTTGAAGTGTCTGAATTGATCTGTTAGTTCTTAGGCAAGTATTTATTATCAGTTAGGCTCTAGGTATGCAGTAGTGATTGCAGTGAGATTATTTGTTAATATTTTTCTTTCTCTCCTCTTTTGTTGGATATAGTAATCTATTCTCATGATAGAAAACTGGGAACATGGCCGGGCGCGGTGGCTCAAGCCTGTAATCCCAGCACTTTGGGAGGCCGAGACGGGCGGATCACGAGGTCAGGAGATCGAGACCATCCTGCCTAACACGGTGAAACCCCGTCTCTACTAAAAAATACAAAAAACTAGCCGGGCGAAGTGGCGGGCGCCTGTAGTCCCAGCTACTCGGGAGGCTGAGGTAGGAGAATGGCGTGAACCCGGGAGGCGGAGCTTGCAGTGAGCCGAGATCGCACCACTGCACTCCAGCCTGGGGGACAGAGCGAGACTCCGTCTCAAAAAAAAAAAAAAAAAAGAAAAAGAAAAATGAGAACATTTAATAAAGCAAAAATTAAAATCAGTAATTCCATAAATATATGTCCTCCTAGACCTCTTTCTGTGCATGCGTATTTGTGACATGAATATGTATAGTTTCATTTTATTAAAGTAGTTTTTTTTTTTGTTTTTTTTTTGTTTTTTTTTGAGACGGAGTCTCGCTCTGTCACCCAGGCTGGAGTGCAGTGGCCGTATTACATTTTTTGCATTTTGGCCAACATCTGGTAAGGAAAATGAGAAAGACCACTGATCTCTAGCCCATATTTTCACCAGTTCGTGGCCTAGATGCTTGGATAATTCTTGTGAACACCGGAGTTCTTACTCCTGCCTCCCCTGCCTTCAGCCCTGAAGTCTCCTGGGAGCAGGAGGATCAGGTTACCGGGGCCAGGCTGTGCTGAGCTGTGGCTTCCAGTTCACTACCACAGACAGTGTGGTAACACAAAGGTGCCGTCGGCAAGAGTGTATGTTCATACTGATTTTTTTTTCCTTAATTTTGTGATGAAAATCTAACAGACAATAAATTCAGTATTTATACTTTTCACAGACCCATTTCTTATATCAAAAAAGTACTATTATCGTTTTTTTTTAAACAACCTTCCTTCTCTAATATTTGTTTTCCTTGTCTCAGAATTCCAACCAGGAGTGCCATGGAAAGGTATCCAAAACATTGACCCTGAATCTGACCCCTATGTCACCCCAGGAAGTGTGCTGGGGGGTACAGCCACATCTCCCATTGTAGATACTGACCACCAACTGCTGCGGGATAACACCACAGGTACTTGAGTGAAGCATCTCTTATATATTCAGCACCCAGCATTTTCATAGTTGTCAGTTTGCGACTTCATTTGTACTTGCTGGTACCTAAAAGTTTAACCAAAAAATGTAAGAATATTGCTTTTCATATTTATTTGTTAGACATATTTTGTCCTCCATTCTATTGAAGTTTAAATAAAATACTTTCAAGGTTTCCCTGGTTATACTGACATTTATCTTCAGTATTTTCTTCTTCTTCTTTGTTACCCAAGGGTCTAATTCTTCCCTCAACACCTCGCTGCCTTCACCTGGTGCCTGGCCCTACAGTGCCTCTGACAACTCCTTTACCAACGTTCATAGCACTTCAGGTATGAGTGTGAATTTTTGGTTTCCCTTTGGTTAGCACTTTTTCATCAGGTTCCCTTTTATAAAGGAAATTGGCATGTATTTCGTAAGGTATGCTCTTAGAGAAGTTCAGTAGCATAGGCCGGTATACATGGAAGCACACCCTTTTCTATTTGCTATATCTTTGAGGAACTTCTAGTCTCAGGAAGGATGAGCCAGATACAACTTTGGGATGAGCTGGCATATCCAGAGGGCTGTAGTCATGTCCTGATGACACACACGCTTCTCTTTTTTTTTTGAGACGGAGTCTCGCTCTGTCGCCCAGGCTGGAGTGCAGTGGCGCGATCTCGTCTCACTGCAAGCTCTGCCTCCCGGGTTCGCGCCATTCTCCTGCCTCAGCCTCCCGAGTAGCTGGGACTACAGGCGCCCGCCACCACGCCCGGCTAATTTTTTGTATTTTTAGTAGAGACGGGGTTTCACTGTGGTCTCATCTCTTGACCTCATGATCCGCCCACCTTGGCCTCCCTAAGCGCTGGGATTACAGGCGTGAGCCACCGCGCCCAGCCAACATGCTTCTCTTTTACCAAGGCTGCTAAGAAGTCAAGGGTCATGAGAAGAACCAGTTAAGGCCAGGTTATTATTCCTAAGGTAGCCAATTATGGCTGGCTTTTCTCTAAAAATCCTCCCACTTATAGACAAAGGCTAAGGACAGATGGCCGAAGGAAAAGAAAAAAAAAAAAAAAGGACCTTGATTAATTTTAGCATCTTTTGGTAAGTTCCTCATGTTTTTTTGAAAGACATTAGGAAATGGAAAAGTTAATAGATATAATAAAGGCTTTGAAGTCACTCACTGAGCATAGTGCCTTACTGGTTGGTAGACATATTAGTAATTGGCACCTTCAGTTTGCACAAGTCAGACCTTAAGCTGTTAAAGCCATTATGACTTACATGCTTTGCTTAGGCAAAAGCAAATAAAGCAGACCTTTATCCACCTACGAATGCTGCAGGCTAGTGGGCTGCAGATTGTCTTGTTTTTCTTCCCACCTCTGTGTCCTATCAGTAGTGCAACAATAACCTACCACTCACTGAGTGATCCCGCAGGCCAGGCATCATGTTAAACCTTCCACATGAATTTTTATTTTACCTTCACCAAAGGCTATGAGTAAGTCCTGTTGTTACCGCTCTTTTGTGGATAAAGAAACTGAGTGAGGTTCTGAGAGCTGATATAACTTGCCTCAGTTCTGAGCACGTATGTACAGGAGACATCTCAATATTCCAGGTTTTGAACCACCACCTTACATTACACTTTTGTAAGATTTCTTTTACATGTAAGAACTTACTCTGATTACCCATCTCTTTTACACCTATAAATGCCCATATCTCAGATTGAACTATATATCTTTTTCCAGCAGTTGAAAATTCATCTGAGAGATGGCCCAAGAATCACCTCAGACTTGTCTAAAACTGAACCTGTACTTCCCCACCCCCAAAAGTGTCTTTCCTTCTCAACTCAGTTCTTTATGTTTCTTAATGATCTTGGCCGGGTGCAGTGGCTCTCGCCTGTAATCCCAGCACTTTGGGAGGCCGAGGCGGATGGATCACAAGGTCAGGAGACCGTCTGGCTAACACGGTGAAACCCCGTCTCTACTAAAAATGCAAAAAAAAAAAAAAAAAAATTAGCTGGGCATGGTGGTAGGTGCCTGTAGTCCCAGCTACTCAGGAGACTGAGCCTGGGGAATGGTGTGAACACGGGAGGCGGAGCTTGCAGTGAGCGGAGATCATGCCACTGCACTCCAGCCTGGGCAACAAAGCGAGACTCCGTCTCAAAAAAAAAAAAAAAAAAAATTATGATCTCATGCATCATTTAGTTACAAAACCTCAGTATTTTCCTCCTCTTTCCTCTCTCTCTCAATTCCTGGATCCAGGCAGTTATGATTTCTCCGTAGTGATTTATTCTGCAATCATATTTCAAATATCCATTCTTTCTGTTCCATTCTATTTACTATCACAGTAGTTTAAACACTCCCTGCTGAATCCGTTGCAAAAACTCATAATAGTATCTTAGTCAGTCCCCAGACTACCTTTGTAACCTCCTTTACCTCTCTGCCCCTGTGGACTGTTCAACCAAAATTGGGGGGAACATATTCCATACAGAGAGAGTTTATGTTGAACCTTGGTTTACACATTCCTGTTTCTTTGTGCCCATCCATTTATGTAAATTCTTCAAGAGCTGTCTTTATAAAGCCTTTGCTGCAAGCCCAGCATTCTTGGTCCCCTCTATGTATTGAACATACGTGATGATGATGGGGTCACCACTTCTGTTGCTCATCTGTTCTGTCTTCCCATCTGAGCTTGAGGTTCTTGGGGATAATTATGTATATTACTCACAGCACTGATTTAGTGACATATGCATAGTAAGCCCTTAGTGAATGTTTCTTGATTGTTTTTAAAGAATCTGTTTGAACTTCAATATCTAGTAAGCTGGATCAAGGCACAAGACAAGCGTAATTTACTAATTACTTTCCATTCAGTCAGTGACTATTTATGGAATACTTTATTCTGCTGGGGTTCACATTCTTACTGTTACCCAGAAGCTGGTATCTTTAGGAAGACTCTCCTTGCATGTGTCCTCCTTTTCAAGTCATTTTTAGCTAAGAAAGCAGTAGAGAATTGGTTATCTTATTAAATCTTTAATTCATATGATAACTATATCAATTCAGAGTAGCAGTCACTGAAAATTTTCTGTTCATTATGCTCTAAGAACAGTGTTATTTTGTATTGCTGTGCTTGAAATGTGTACTATTTTTAGAATATAAATGTGTATTTATGTGTATGTAGATAAAACTCGTGTATTTGTCAACAAAAGTGAACCATCTAACCTTATTCGTTCCTTAATTTTCTCTTCTTACAGCAAAGTTCCCTGATTACAAATCAACATGGTCCCCAGATCCCATAGGACACAACCCCACTCATCTCTCCAACAAGATGTGGAAAAACCATATTTCCTCCAGGAACACTACACCGCTGCCCCGCCCACCTCCTGGTCTGACCAACCCCAAACCATCATCTCCCTGGAGCAGCACAGCACCCCGATCAGTCAGGGGGTGGGGGACACAGGACTCACGGCTCGCCTCGGGTGAGGAGGATCTGCCTAAAGGAGCGCCATTGTTCATCCACAAGGGGCTTTTGTTAACACAGATGGTGAAGACACCAAGAGGTCTTCCCAAGAGAGGAAATCATGGTTGTCTGGTTTTTCTTCTGGTAGAGGAAAAGGTACCTCTTGAGTGAAAGGCACAGTCAGTATGAGGCAAAGGGACCCAAGAACTCCCAAGGGACAGATAGGGTAAAATGAGTGAGTAAAAATGGCAGAGCGAGAACACTGGGAGGAAAATATTGTCTTGGAAATTATGCATAAAAGTCATGCATAGGAGTCAGGGACCAGTAGAAGAGAAAAGAAGGTCAGAGTCCAGTGGAAAAGAGAGACAATTTATAAAGGCAGAGAAGAAATGTGGGCTACATGAAAATCTTTCTCCTTCTTGGCTTTTCTTGAATTTTTGTTTTATTTCTCTTCCTAACCATTTTTCTGGTTGCTCACAGCCTCTACCTGGAGTGATGGTGGCTCAGTTCGTCCTAGTTACTGGCTGGTTCTTCACAATCTCACTCCACAGGTAATTATGCTTTCTCATGGTTTTCTAGATAGGACTTGATTGTGTTAAGAGAGGGAAAGACGGGAGTTGGTGTCTCACACCTGTGATCCCAGCACCTCAGGAGGCCGAGGCGAGAGGATTGCTTGAAGCCAGGAGTCTGAATTCAGTCCAAGCAATATAGTGAGACCCTGTTTCTACAAAAAATTAAAAATTAGCCAGGCATGGTGGTGCACAGCTGCTCAGGAGGCTGAGGTGCAAGGATCACTTGAGCCCAGAGGTCGAGGCTGCAATGAGCCATGATTGCATTGCATTGCAGTCCAGGTTGGGCAACAGTGCAAGACCCTGTCTCAAAAAAAGAGAGAGAGAGGGAAATAGATGTGGGAGGCTGGCAGATATGAAAGCTCATCTCCTGATCACTGCAAAGAGGTCTTGACTGCAGGAGGTGGGTGTCCCCTCCCGACCCAAGGTTCACAGCCTACTTCTGGAGAGGGGTTGGTGCTGGCCACTAGGCTTCATGCCTGCCTTCAAGATGATGATAACACATACAGTTTATAAAAGTGAAAACTAGTTTTATATGCTAGTTTATAAAACTAGGTAAAACCCACTAGCGTGGATTCCTGCAGATCTTATGGGGCAGAGAAAGAGAAAAAAAAGTAGGGGTGGTATTTTCTGGTGGTTTCTGTGTAGTAGACACTATTTGCTATACAGATGTGCATGTTAGAATCTGGAACCTAGTGGAAAAGGGAGTATTTTAAGGATACCCAAAAGCTACCTGTTTGTGTGTTAATTCTCCAATAAGACCTGAACCTATACTTCCCCATCCCTAAAAGCGTCTTCCCTTCTCAACTAAGTTCTTTATGATTCTTAATATTGATCTCATGCATCATTTAGTTACAAAACCTCAGTATTTTCTCCCTCTTAAAACATATTAACCATTTCTGTGCTTTGTAAATACTTAACCATCCATCTCTCCAGTGGAATAGATCATTGACTTCATAGTTTATAAATGCTCCATGGGGCCAGTTGCAGTGGCTCACGCCTGTAATCTCAGCACTTTGGGAGGCCAAGGCAGGTGGATCATGAGGTCAAGAGATCAAGACCATCCTGGCCAACGTGGTGAAACCCCGTCTCTACTGAAAATACAAAAATTAGCTGGGCATGGTGATGCGCACCTGTAGTCCCAGCTACTTCGGAGGCTGAGGCAGGAGAATTGCTTGAACCCGGAAGGCGGAGGTTGCAGTGAGCTGAGATTGTGCCACTGCACTCCAGCCTGGCAACAGAGTGAGACTCCGTCTAAAAAAAATTTTTTTTTTAATTTAAAAATGCTACATGGGCGTGTTTAACTCTCTGTCTATTATCCTCTTCACGTGTAGATGGCATTACTATAATTGGCTCTCATCAGACCATATCGTCCGGGTGGTTTTCCAGTGGAAGGGCTTCATTTGCACCAAGCCACCTTGCCTTTCACCTTGGTTGCTAGATAACTGAAGCATTTGCGGAAGCATTATGTTGAGCATTTGAACGAAGTTAAATGGACCCATCAAAACTGAGTCCATCACAACCTTTACAACACCCTCACAACACCTTGTTAAAAGGAGTCAGTTATGCCTCCTGTTTTTGACACATGGAATGCATTGTCTGGCATTTAATTCATACATGGATTCATGCACACTTTATTAAGCCAACATTTTCCAGAATGTTCTCATGAGATATGATTAGGTCTCTGGCCTAATATGTTGGACATGTATACTTGGTTGAACAAAACTAAGCAGATTTTTTCACTTTGAGACTTCTTAGACCTTTTAATATGCTTACCCATATTATGATTCTCTGTGGGGAAATACATCTCCTAAATACATTTGCCCATTTGTAGGGAGTAAATCACAGGATTCGTATTTCAAGGTGCACATTGAAGTAAACAGTTTCCTAAATACAGTTAACATGAGGGAGGATGTGGGTCAGCTCTTAATCTCTGTATCTATTCAACTCAGCTCAAAGTTCCAAGTTATGGCCAGGCGCAGTGACTCACTCCTGTAATCACAACACTTTGGGAGGCCGAGGCGGGCAGATCACGAGGTCAGGTGATTGAGACCATCCTGGCTAACACGGTGAAACCCTGTCTTTACAAAAAATACAAAAAATTAGCCAGGCATGGTGGCGGGCATTGGTAGTCCCAGCTACTCGGGAGGCTGAGGCAGGAGAATGGCATGAATCCGGGAGGCAGAGCTTGCAGTGAGCCGAGATTGAGCCGAGATTGCGCCGCTGCACTCCAGCCTGGGTGACAGAGTGAGACTCCATCTCAGAAAAAGAAGTTCCAAATTATTTCTTTAGCTAATAGTTGACTGAAATATGAAGAATCTTGTATGACCATCCTCAAAACTATGCCTCCTGTTTTCTAAGAGTTGTCACACAATGTGTTGATTATGGTATGATGAGATTGAGAGAAGCAATAAGAGATGCACTGTTTTGAAAGAAGCCTGGGTGGCTGTTCACTTGTTCTATCTTACAAAAAATGCTGGCCAGATGTGGTGGCTCGTGCCTGTAATCCCAGCCCTTTTGGGAGGCCGAGGCGGGTGGATCACCTGAGGTCAGGAGTTCCAGACCAGCCTGGCCAACATGGTGAAACCCCATCTCTACTAAAAATACAAAAATTAGCCAGGTGTGGTGGTGGGCGCCTGTAGTCCCACCTCAGTTGGGAGGCTGAGGGAGGAGAATCGCTTGAACCCGGGGGTGGAGACTGCAGTGAGCTGAGATTGCACCACTGCACTCCAGCCTGGGTAACAGAGTGAGATTGTTTCAAAGAAAAAAATGTCTTTTGTACACATGCATCCATATAAAATGAATATGGGGGTGGCTGTGTTTGGGTTAGAATTAATTTTAAAAATCAAAGCTTCCTAAGAGCAGACTAATCTCTATCATAGCTTAAAAGTTTATGAGAGCAAGTTACCTGCTGTCCATCCTGGGTGACAGAAGAGTGAGACCCCTCCCCCATATCTAAATTTTAAAAAATACATATATTGATACAGTTGCTACCCCCTTATCCATGGTTTCTTACCCTTGGTCAAACCATAGTCAAAAAATATTAAGATATTTTGAGAGAAAGACCACATACACATTACTTACAGTATATTATAACTTTTCTATCTTAATCTCTTACTGTGCCTAATTTACAAATTAACCTTTATCTTAGGTATGTATGTATGGGAAAAACATAGTATACTTAGAGTTCAGCACTTTTGGTGGTGTCAGGCCTCCACTGGGGGGCCTTGGAAGGTGTTCCCCTCAGATAAAAAGGAACTACTTTATCTGGATAATTTTTCTTTCATCACCTAAAATTTATTTAGAGGGCATCTATCCTAAAAAGTCTCTTAGGCCAGGCATGGTGGCTCACGCTTGTAATCCCATCACTTTGGGAGGCCAAGGCGGGCGGATCATGAGGTCAAGAGTTCGAGACCATTCTGGTTAACACAGTGAAACCCCATCTCTACTAAAAATATTTTAAAAATTAGCCGAGTGTAGTGGTGGGCACCTGTAGTCCCAGCTACTCAGGAGGCTGAGGCAGGAGAATGGCGTGAACTTGGGAGGCGGAGCTTGCAGTGAGCCAAGATGGCGCCACTGCACTCCGGCCTGGGCAACAGAGCAAGACTCTGTCTCAAAAAAAAAAAAAAAAAAGTCTCTTGAGGCATATGCCGACATGTTTATGTAGTCTATTATTACTTATAAAACAATGCTAAGAACATTTCTCTGATCATTTTCTGCAAAGAACTACAGAGAAACTGCCTGTTTTCATCCTGCAGGGTGTCTACCACTGCCATCAGTAGTACAGCTTGTTAAGCAATTCAATAGTAATCTGTTTATCTTCCAAAGAAATGAACTGAAATGGTGGACTGATCTTAAATACCTATTTAAGGTCTTGACAGGCTGGGCACAGTGGCTCATGCCTGTAATCCCAGCACTTTGGGAGGCTGAGGCGAGTGGATCACAAGGTCAGGAGATCAAGACCATCCTGGCCAACATGGTGAAACCCTGTCTCTATTAAAAATACAAAAATTAACCGGGAGTGGTGGAGTACGCCTCTGATTCCAGCTACTCGGGATGCTGAGGCAGGAGAATCACTTGAACCCGGGAGATGGGGGTTGCAGTGAGTCGAGATCATGCCACTGCACTCCAGCCTGGGCAACAGAGCAAGACTCTGTCTCAAAAATAAATAAAAAGATCCTGATGCAAAATAAATTCATCAGAGTGAATAAGTTTGTTCATCCAACTCATAGATTAGGAAAATTGTCCCTAATTGCTGAATCGCTGAAGATCTTAAGTGGTGAAAGTCTAACTGGGGTGAGGAGTACAGCCTTTGGTCAAAATGCCTGATGTCAACACAGGGCATAGAGAAGTAGGCAGAGATGGGCAAAGTAGGGTAAGACAGTGTTGGAATAGGCTGTGAACCAGATCAGCCATTAGCATTTTCAACAATCAGATGTTTAGTAGTGCTTTTCTTGTTTGTGTCTTTCTCTTTACAGAGGAATACATGAGCAGTGATGCTAAGAATGTTAACTTACATTCTTATGTGGATACCATCTCATTTCTGTCCTTTTTTGACTACAAATTAACACTCACACCTGTTTATCTCTTAAAGAAAACAGACCATAGGCTGAATCATATGCTTTTGTTTTGAGCCTCATTTATGCAAACTGGATTTGCAAAATGGGCCCACTAGGTCTCATCCAGTGCTTTGAATATCTTAAAATTTACCTTTTCCACCCCACCTCCAGTCTTTATCTCATGAATGTCATTACTCCTTAGATTGATGGGTCAACCTTGAGAACGATCTGCATGCAGCATGGCCCACTGCTGACATTCCATCTGAATCTAACCCAGGGCACTGCCCTGATCCGATACAGCACCAAACAGGAGGCGGCCAAGGCCCAAACTGCACTGCACATGTGAGTATTCGATCCTACACCCACGCAGACAAACATGCATGAAGATGCACCCGTGAGTATTCTGGCAGCTGCTAAATTAAAGACGCACCAGAACATACACGAAGAATGGCACCATCACACTTGCATCTGCAAGTCTTGAGTGTGGAGGTGCCAGGTCTTTTCCACCTAAGCTTGGATTGTCCTGTATATATCAGAGGCCAGTCTTTAGAATTCCAAATGTAAATAATTTGTGAAGTAGTGAGTAAATTCTAAGTAACATAAAACAAAGCTAGGGCCGGGCACAGTGGCTCACGCCTGTAATCCCAGCACTTTGGGAAGCCGAGGTGGGCAGATCATGAGTTCAGGAGATGGAGACCATCCTGGCCAACGTGGTGAAACCCCATCTCTACTAAAACACAAAAAATCAGCCAGGCGTGGTGGTACGTGCTTGTAGTCCCAGTTACTCGGAAGGCTGAGGCAGGGGAGTCTCTTGAACCTGGGAGGCAGAGGTTACAGTGAGCCAAGATTGTGTCATTGCACTCCAGCCTGGTGACAGAGCAAGACTCCATCTCAAAAAAGAAACACACAACTAATGAAAGTGCCATTGTTTTTCATAATAGAATCTGGCTGCTTACTCCAGCCTCTTTGCAGATGACAAAATATTGTGGTCTTGGTGGGTAGCAGGGTCTTGGCTTAAATTAGGTGGCGCTAGATCAGACTTTGCCCATCCCCTTCCCTGCCACTGTCAAACTGGTAGATGGAGAAGAGCTGACTGCCCTTGGCTGCAGATGCCATGGCAGAAAGCCGGACACACTGCAAGCCAGGGACAAGGAGGCGCAGGCAGCGAGGAGCCCCGGAGAAGGAGCAGCACTCCCAGGGGCTGAAGCCAGGTTGCTTTGATGCTTTGGGTTTGATCTTTTGCCTCGTAACTCACGTGGGGGAAGAAAGAGACCATATTTTTCTTTCCTTTTTATCTAAGGCATTATTTTTTTTGTTTTAGAGCAGTTTTAGGATCACAGCCAAATGGAGAGGAAAATAGAAAGATTTGTCTCATATCTCCTGCTGCCACACAAGAATAGCCTCCACCATTATCAACATCCTCCACCAGAGTGGTGCACTTGTCAAGATTGCTGAACCCCTCCTTATCACCAAAAGTCTGTGGTTTACATTAGAGTTCACTCTCGGCCTTGTACAGTATGTGGTTTTGGACAAATGTATAATGACAGGTATCTACCATTACAGTATCAGAGCCCTCTGCCAGTTCAGTGATCCCTCTTAGCGCCCCACAGACACACACGTTTTTCTTGATAGCTAAGTTGTCTAGAATATATACATTCCATACACCAAGAAATATCAGAATATAATATTCTTTAGTAGTCCTTGGTTATCCTGAGCTTCGGTGATGCCTTGTTGCTTTACATCATTACTTCCCAATTACCTGGCAGTCTGGTTGAAATACAGGTTCTGGACCCAGAGGCCTTGGTTGGAGCTTGGACTCTGCATTCTAAAAAGCATTCATGGATATGGCAGCTTCTAGTCAAAGGACCGCACATTGAATGTCAAGGACTGGGCAGTCGCTCCCTCCATGTGCTTTAGGATTTTCCTCAGATCCATAGCTCTCTCTCCCTCCCTTCTTCCAGGTGTGTGTTGGGAAACACTACCATCCTTGCTGAGTTTGCCACTGATGATGAAGTCAGCCGCTTTCTGGCACAAGCTCAGCCCCCTACACCTGCAGCAACCCCGAGTGCGCCAGCCGCGGGGTGGCAGTCGCTGGAGACCGGCCAGAACCAGTCAGATCCCGTGGGACCTGCTCTGAATCTTTTCGGTGGGTCCACTGGGCTCGGGCAGTGGAGCAGCAGCGCTGGTGGCAGCAGCGGGGCCGATCTTGCTGGCGCTTCATTGTGGGGGCCCCCAAACTATTCTTCTAGCTTATGGGGAGTCCCAACGGTGGAAGATCCCCATAGGATGGGCAGCCCTGCTCCTTTACTACCTGGTGACCTTCTGGGAGGAGGGTCGGATTCAATCTGAACTTAGAACTTTCAACTCTGACCTCGTGACCTTTTTTGGAACAGCAGCAGCACTAACTTGACCTTTTCGTTTTTTTTTTCAACTTGCAATAAATACATTTTTAAAAGGAAAAAAGAAAACGGAGAGAAAAAAAGGTGGGTCATTGACAGACTGTCTGAGCACATAGTTGCCTCCCTTATAACTTCAGTTTTTTCGTTTGGAATATGAATCCAAAAAGAGAACATATCACTCTTGAAATACTTGAATCATGAACGCCAACCTAGAAAGACAATGTGAAGCAAGTACACATACCATTTAAATTTAAACACAAAAACATTAAAAAAATTAGTTTCTAGTTTTTCACTTTTTTCATGTTATATGGAAGTTGTTGCTAAGAAACATATATACTGAAAAAAAAATAGCTTTTTAACTTTGTTTGCACTGGGTGTGTTTCCGTCCTTAGGTCTACCATGTTTGGGAGGGAGGGAAATTCAAAAGAATTGTTGGGGGAGGGGGGAGGGAAGACTTGACGGAGCCTCACTTTAAAAACAAAAACACAAAAAACCTAAAAAAAAAAAGGAAAAAATTTGTGATTGGCTGGTTGATAAATACCAGTGTGTTCTGGCACATGTAACTGCCCAGGCATGCTCGTTCTGGTGTGTGTGTGCACGTGTGTTCATGTGCATTTGCGTGCATCCTTCTCTGTCTCTGTGTGTGTGCCTGTGTTCTTCCCTTCTCTCCCTGCCCCACCCTGACTTCTCAGAAAGCTGCATCGCTGACAGTCTGCGGGCTGGCTGGCCGGCCATCTGCTTTTTATTTTATTTTTTTAACTTTGAGAACACACAGTCCCAGAGAGCCACTGCTACTAAAGCAACTCCATTGGGCTGCATTAAGATGAACAGAGTGCTTTTTAATGATGAAAGCAGGGCGCTCCTTCCCATTTGCAACTTAGCCTGAATGTGGGGTTTCTCTGGCTGTTCTTTTGACCTAGCAGTAGAGTGGAGCACTGCCAAGTCCAAAAAACTAGAGCAGGAGGTACCTCTCGGAGCAGCTGTGTGTTTATTTCTTTTTTTTTTCAAAGTGAATGGCCAGCAGGCACATCTGAGTATCTGTTAAGTTTCATGCAGGCCTTTTCGTTAGTTTGAAATGGGAACGGAAGATAGCTTTTGATTATGGGATGTCTCAAAAACAGAAAAACTTTGTTCCCTCTTTCCTTATGATCAGGTTTGAGAAATTCTTTAAAAAATTAGGTGAAGTTGAGTTACATATTTCTATTGGTTGGTCCTCTTTTTCATTTTATGAAAAAAGAAAAGAATAAGTGGTGAGCAGCCTCCTGAAAGCATCTGCAGCTACTCCCTCTGCTCCTCTCTCGCCGAGCGTTACCTGTGCCAGGCCGCGGCGCGTTACAGCACCAGGCCATCACTGACAGAAACGTTTACTTAACGAATGTTCTTAAACCAGTGTGTACTTCAAGCGTTTCCTTTCGTTTCTCTGTGTTGTGTATTTCCTGTGTATGTGGTTTTGCTTAGGCAGGTATAACTTAGCAAAGACTTTTAAGTATTGCACCTTTTTTTTTGGTTTTGACCTCTTCCCCCCACCTTGTAATTTTGCTTTTTTTATTTCGGTATTTAAATACTTTTTTTTTTTTTTTTTAAGCATCAATGTAGTAGTACTCTGGGCCGAACAGGGGGCAACGTTTAATCTACAGTTATCACCAACATGTATGTACTTATGTTGGAATCAAAATGTATCAAACTGCTTATTGTGAAGAGAATTATAGACCTGAAGGGGGGGAAAAACCAGATAGGGTGGGGGGGATGGATGCCGGTGACGTGCTAGCACTTGTGTGGACATCCCAGTCTGCATTATACTGTTTAACATAAAGTGCCGACATTTTGTACCAGCAAATACCTGCCCATTCCAGCCCTTGGTGGGAGCAGACCTCTACTGTCCTCTGTAACTTGCTGCTATTGAGGACAAGGGAGTTTTTCTTTCTTTAGCGTCTTCAGTGAAGGATACAATACAAAAATGCCTAATGTATTTGACTTTTAGCTTGTGTCTGTGTGTAGGTGGGTGGGTGGGTGTGTATAGGAAAAGCCTGAAACAAGTTATTTGCATTTCAGTGGTTTTGTGAGACAAAGAATGGGAAATTCTGTAGCCCTTCTGGCTTACCCTGTTGATTATAAACCTAGCCTCAAAAGAGATTGACAGGCATGACTCAAATGAGTGTTCACGTGTACAAGCCTGCATGAGCCAGCCCTCTGTGGGTGGGTGGTCACACTTGGCGTCTGCAGCATTGACCTGGCCCCGCTGGGTGCCTTGAGCGTGCCCTCTTCCTGCTCTCCAATTTGAATCACCACCGTGCCCCTTCCACCGCTGTTCCCCATACAAAAGCTGTCCTTCCAGCAGCCCCACTGACTGCTCTCTGTGTGGAGCAAAGTGCTGTCGTGTGGTGACCACCAGGTGAAGAGCAGCTTGTATTCAGACATCTAGAGAAGGCTAAATCTTAGCGTCCCTGGACCAGGAGCATATCCCAAGGCTCCTGCAAGCCAGTGGTGACCCTGTCCACTGCCGCTCTTGGTTCACTGCTGTGTCCTGCCCCACCCTCCTCTCCTCCTGCCTGTTGGTTCCTTGACCTGCACTATGGGTTAGTTGAGTTCCTTATGATACTACGGTGAAAGCCGGGTGCTAGAGCCCCTCTTGTTTACAAGACATAATGAGGGATTTGAAATATGTAAAAATAAACATGAGAAGCTAAAATGTTCTTCCATCATAAGCTTAAAGGGAAAAAAAACTAAAAACTTTTAAAAAAAAAAAGACCAAAAAGTGCGTATATATATACATATAAATATATATTTTAGATGAAGACTAACTCTGGGAGCATTTAACAGTGTTTTTTGTTTCTGTTTTTAACATTTGTTTTCCTGCTTTAAAATTTGCAAGCATTCTCAGGAATTCTAGGGTAGGAAGCCAGTTTTTTGAAGATGGTTTATTTAACCGTATCTTATCCTAGAGAGATGGCTGTTTCTTTCCTGTTAATAAACTTTTACAAGTTCCTGAAACTTCAGAAAGTTTAAACAATTTTTACTTAAAAAAAATGTAAAAAGAAAAGTCTCCAAACATTATTGTCATACTGGGGATCATACATTTTAAAACACATAGAAATATTTTTTAAAAATTATCAATTTAGCAGCAACAGGTAAATTCATTATCTTAAAAATATGGGAGAAGGATTAAGCTTTGTAAGAGCTCGATCATGGATTCTTTTGAAATTGTGTGTAGTTTAATGGGAGAGTGTTTGGTGTATATAGATGAGAATGCCATCACTTTGTTCCTTTCCATTTGAGACTGAACTGAAATCTCCCCTAGTAGTTTTTATTTTTTTAAAGGAGCCCTTCTCCCTGTCCCCACAACCCCAGCAACAAAAGGAAGGAAGGAAGAAACAACAGCTTAAAAAAAAAAAAAGTAACTCTAATCTGTAAAATAGTACAGTTGGATTGCTGAGAATCTATGTAAAGAGTTAGGAAATATAGGTTAATAATTTTTGGAACAAATTTTAAATATAGGCATTACTAGAGGAAAATTATCTATGGACTGTCCTATTAATGAAGAATGTCTGTCTTACCTCCGTTTGTTTTGGAAGGAGGAGAAAATATAGAAGAATCTAATAAGGAACAAGTGATTTTACTTTTTTAGCTCCCAGCTACTGTTGTGCTCGTTTTAATTGCTGTTTCGAAGATCTGCTGCTTAATTATCCCCATCCCTTAGCCGGAGATGTGGAGTGTTTCCTTTCAGTTTTTGGTGATGTTGAATTATTTTGTATTCCCTCCTGGGGCCAGGGGTCAGAATTCCCAAGCATGACCACAGCTTCTTTTAAACATTAAGCTTCTTTTAAACATTAAGCTTCCCAGTGGGAAAGAAACTCCAGCTCGACAGGTAAAGGGAGTGGGTGGGGTTGCTGCCTGCAATTTCTCTAAAACCGCTTTAGTGCCTTCGTACATACACCCAGACATCCTGAGCAAGGGGGACGCACACGTGTGTGTGTGTGGTCTGGTCACTCCACAGATGTAAGATACTCGCCCATAAAGGAAATTGGAGTGGTTCTGGACAGGCCCCAAAGGCAGTGGGCTAAATTTAAAATAAACAAACGTCAAGCAAGTTAATATGCTTATGTCTCAATAATGTAGAATGCCAAGTTCCTCCCTGTGTCTTGTGCCCTCCGTTACTGTGCATTGACTCCTCCAGGTGTGTAATTGTGACAACTGCCGTGATTTGGAAAGTCTCTTTGTGCTGGGCCAATAGAAAGGGGTTCCTGTTGTTCTGCTCTTGTCCTTTGTCTCCTCCCCTTTTCCCCCAGACCTCCCCCTTCTTCTTGTCAACTTGCTGGGAGCTTTGCTTTATTGGTTGGCAGTGACCTAAGAACAGGATATGGTGAGGATGTCATGGAAGAGAAGAGCTCTTTCCGTGGTATTCTTGGGCAAGAGCCATGTCTACTAAGAGGTTAGGTGACTTCAGTATACTTCTAAAATTCAGTGAGAGTGCCTTCTCTTCCACCACACTCTGGCATAGATACAGGGTTGCTGGTCACCTCTGATTTATTTTTAAAACATTTTGATTACGTTAATTTGAGCTTTCCCTTTTTTTTTTTTTTTTTTTTTTTTTTACTAGTTACTTCTTTTTAAAACACTTGATTACTAGTGGCTTAGAGGTGTGTACATCTCTTGAACATCACCAACTTGGTTTCTACTTACCACATGAGTAGCCAAAAGAAAAGAAGCACTAATAGGGAAAAGGGTGTCTCACATCACATAGAGGACCTCTGCCGGCAATTAGATCCAGCGCCGTGACCTAACTTTAAGTGTTTAAAAAAGTTCAGATCTCTGAGACACTGTGAAGAAATGGATGGTTCATGTAACATCTCTGATCCCTCAGTCCCCAACCCTGGACATGTTTCATTTACAGCATTCATAGGAGTTAACTTAGTGTTGCAAGTTAAGGTTCCAAACCAAATTATTTAATCAGTGTCCCCCCAATAAATCGTTATCCATTTATTGCCAGTTAGTTTTATTTATAGCAACTTGATTTTCTATGAATATGGCTCCTGTTCTAAGAATTTTCCCACCTCTTCTGACATGAATGTAGCATAAGTTAGCAATCAGTTCTTCCAAACTTCTTTGGGTTGAACATGGTATGTAAGGTATGTAAGAGGAAAGAGAAAGGAAAAGATAAAACTCCTGCCCGAGAATTTGGAAGCACCTTTATTAATACATATATCTCGCAGAAACTAGAAGTTCATGGGCTGTTAACTTTTTGCAAATATTCTCTCATTTTTACCACTTTTTTTTTGGAGAGGGGTGTGATTTTTGTAGGGTTAACAGCCGGATTCCATTTCGACCTCAGATGCTGTGTACTTTTTAATTTCATTTTTTATATTCTGCCATCTTGACTCTTCTCTAAAACAGAATGAAAATGTCTGCATGCTGAGCAAAATGCTTATGCCAAGCCTGTTTTTCCCTGCAGAGTAAACAGGATGTTTTCAGCAGACGTGGCTGTAATAGCCATCTCTAAGATTAGGGAACAATTGAGTCTTTATGTAGAAACTATCCCTTTTTTCCCCATCCTCAGAGTTAAAATTCAACATTTAACGCTTTATAGGTTATTGTTTTAGATTTGAGGTTTTTGTTTGTAAGTATAAGATCTTTAGGAGTGAGATACATTTTTAGCTGGTTAAAAAAATCAAACTTTCTCTCCAGTGTTTTTGCCAAGTTTTGTCACACTCTATGTGTATGCATTAACTACACTTCTTAGTGTTACTGCAAAAAAAAAAAAAAAAAAAAAAAAAAAGCCTGGTTCTTTAATTGTGTTTTTCCTCCTGTGAGTGGACAACTAAAGCCATGTGATAATGCGGATGAAAATACTGCAGCCTGTGTGTATACAATGAATTGTCAGTCTTCAGACCTCATGGTCATTGAGAAAATAGGGAACCCACATCCCCTGCTGCACAGCACACCATACCCCCTTTACTTCTTTATCTGCTAGTACAGGGACTCTATACAGTCAAGGAACACACAGATATACATAATGCTGTTGAGAACATCATCATTCTGTAAGAAAACAGAATATTACCTAGATTTTCCAGAGTTTGTGCACACCCTGTGATAACAGTCTGTGGGTTTATGGCCAGCGCCAAAGGTATGTGTATTTTCAGAACTGGTCCCTATTTGTCAGTGATAGTGTTTTGTTTTGTTTTTTTTCTTGATCTTAAATTTTACAAAGGGGGTGGTAATATCACATTCTTTAGATTTGAAATAATTACCAGCTCCAAGAATCTATGAACATAGTAATAATAAAAATTTGACCTCGACCCTCCCTAACCTGCTCACCATACCTCCCCCACCCCGTGCCTCCGAAGAAAGAGGCCGTGAACATCCACAAGGTGGTAAAGGGGGGACACTGGTCCGGGGAGTGGAGAGCTACTCCAGCAGCTCAGCACCCACACTGCCCTCACGTGTGTGGCCACCAGGACTAGATCCCGAGTGATTGTGGCGTACCCCTAACATTTGAGTCATTTTTAAGCTGTCAGTCTCTTGTCATAACCTCCTACCGCCACCCAAAAAAGTAACGAAAGTTGCAGTAACTGCCAGTGTTTGCCTCACCGAATTTAAATCGTTCCCTTTTCAGTTAACTATATACCTGAATTTGTTTTTAACGAGAAACTGTCCATGGCCAGGAAAAATGGTACTACCTTGGCCAAAGGGTCTTTGCAAAAAGCTCAGTCTTCAGTTCTTCACTGTGACCAACGCTTGTTTTGTTCATGGGAGGGGAAAGATCAGATAACTAGGCAAGAAGTATTCTGTTTTAAATAAAGAATAAATAGTGTTCGTTTAAAGCACTCTGTGCCTCAGCTTCATATTCAAACTATAAATTATTGCTTTGGAAATAAATTCCCAGTTATAATTGACCCATTTCTAGCCAATATCAATAAGTTGGGATGGTGGTTTTGTTTGTTTGTTTGTTTGTTTTCCAAAAACGGAAATTCCTCTTCACTGCTCACAGTAAGCAGCAAAAGAGAGCTGTCGAGGTGGCTCATGATGCTGCTGCAGCAGGGCTGTGAAAGGAAGTGCTTTTCCTTCCCTCCCACCCTCTGCCCTCCGGAATCTGGTGTTCCTTCCCCTTAGGCTACTGAAAGGTGTGTACAACTCCCGGAGGGGTGGGTGTAAAAGTTGACTGGAGGCAAAGTGAAGTGGCCTTATTGCCAGGACTAGCCCTTCAGAAGAGCTTTACAGAGAGGAGGACAGTACATCCTATGTGTGTTCACCAAAAATGGGAAAGGTGGGTATTTAGGCAAAACAAAAACCTTTGAATCCCTTTAAGAAGTTACATACCTTTTAAAGGTAGAGTTTCTCACCAAGTGATGCATTTTAGCATAACACTTCTTGCCAGAAATTTTGGGATAATTTAGAATAAATGTGTTTAAAACATCATCCACCCCCCTTTTTAAATTTTGTCTAAGGAATTACTTAAGTATAGTATTTCTGAATGTGCCTTTGTGAGTACAGAGACCGTCTGTTCTAGGAAGAGGCTATCCATTGGATACAAACAGAAAGACGGTCAGCTTAAGTCTTTAGGGAAGTCAGAGTTCCTCCTGGAAGTCCCAGGGGCAGCTGTTGAGATTTCATTAGCATCAATATTGCACAGTGTAGAGCTGAGTGGAAGAGATTCTGGGACTTGGGAGAGGAGACAGTTAGGGGAAGGTACCCAGGCGACGCAGACCCAGGTTCGTCCAAGAGCGCAGGTTTACGCATCTGCATTCCCTGGTTTTCTCTGTGTGTATGTTTGTGCTCATGTGGCTGTGGCTGTTTCATTTTCTGTTTTTCTGTAAGCACTGGAGAATTGGAATATGGTGATACTTGTGACACATTCACGCAGGTAAACAAGGCGTTTTCCAGCTTCTGCCGTGTGCAGAGTGGGCAGCACACTTTTACCCTTTGAGTCTTGTCCTGAGGCGGCCGTTATGTTCCCACATGGGCGTCACATCACGTTGCTGTTGATGCAAACAGGGTATTACACACAAGGAAAAGGGGTTTTGAAGAGTTAAGACTGAAGTGTTTGAGAAAGAGAAAAATCTGAAATCATATTTTATTTCTTCAGAGCTATTATAGTTGAACACAGAAATCTGCACTGTCTCTATTTGTTTTTATGTTTTAAACAATTTCACCTCTTCTCCCCACTCCTATCTTCTAAAGAAATATCAAGCAAATGCTAAGGGCCATTTCCATGATTCCTCAGAGCTCCCCCAAAGAGGAAAACAGTCCCTCCCGCTCGATTCCTTCAGCTTCATTCAGGAAGACACAGGGAGGAGAGATGCTGCTTCTGCGCTTTGCTCTCATTCCTCTCTCATGGCCTTGAAATGTATTATTATGCAAATGTGAATTTTGATACTGAATTTAAGAAGAGGTTGGATTTTTTTTCTTTTTTCAAAAAAAAAAAAAAAAGTCCCACATGTGGTCATCGTCGCTTCTTTATGTTGTAAGGTGAATTGTAACTATGCATTCTGCAAAGGGTGGGGGGAAGAGAGGGCAGAAAGGGGACGGGAGTAACTTTGCGTCCTTGTTCTCCAGTTTCTGTGTCCATGGTGTCCCCGTGTCCTGGAGGGGAAGGGGAGTGAGAGACGATGTGGTAAGGTCAGCACAGTGAGACAGACCTCTGAGTCCTCTTGCCACTGTTGCTGGCAGGTCTGATGGCCAGGTAAATTCCAGGGGCCGGCAGTTCCTGTCAACCAGTGTGGTTCAGGATTCTTGATCCTAGCCGTGCAGCGTTAATCCAGTATAGCAATGGAACTCCACAGGCTCCAGTGTTCTCTGGAAAAAGTACTCATCCTTTCCTGAATCCAGAGCCCTTCAAGCTCAGGAAACCATGCCTCACGCGTGCTGACCTGAAAGGTAATCTTTAGGTCAGTTTTGAAAAACTCCGCCTCCTCTCTCCTTTTTCATATTTCTTTCTTTCTTTTTAATCATGTTTAAGTGAACTGACTCTGAGTTATAAGGAACTGTCCTGCTTTGTGGGGAAGAGGGCTGTTTCTTGGCAGGCAAAAAAGTTTTATCTTCCCTACTCACCATCCCTCTCTCTGCCTCCCTTGCGTTTGGCAGGCTGTGTGAAGCCAGTGAGCTGCGAGGTGTTTTGACAGGGGAGGTCTGCATGCAGCCTCTTTGTCCTAACAATTCTTTGTTGATCTTGCCTGTGATAAATCATAGCGCCTGCATTGCTCTGGTCTAGGCGTCATTTGCAACACACAGTATCATAAGCGAGAGATTGTTCTGCCTATATTCAGTGTTTTCCATGCAGCAATTCTTGTTGTTGACGTTCACAGTACTGTAACGAGTAACAGACTTGATCACAGTCTCCTCGTGCCTGTGCAGGGCTGCACAGGCATGATCTTATCAGGGTTCCAATCTGTTAGATTGCCTTTAAACAAAAAAAAAACAAGAAAAAAATAAAATCCTGACGTTTCAACTGTCTCACACAAAATAATACCTCGAGGTACATTTCCCCCTGCAATGTAAACCCTTAACTCCTCTCTCCTTTCTGACATCAGTGGATTATCCTTTTTAAAATATGAACATGTAAATAGCAGGATAACTTTAAAAAACATTTTCTTTGCTGTGAAAGTAACCCTAAAATATGTTTTCTTCTTTTGTGTTTTTGGTTTTTGTTTTTAAGCCATCAGAAGTTTCAGATGTTACTCTTTCATGTTTAAGAAGAAAGAGCAGAGCAGGTTGGGGGAGCGGGTTTGCATTTGTGGTGGAGGGGTGTTCTCTCCATTGCCTCCCACACAGTGACAGCAGACCAGTATGTAAACCCTGTTTTGACTGGGCACGGTGGCTCACACCTGTAATCCCAGCACTTTAGGAGGCTGAGGTGGGCGGATCACCTGAGGTCAGGAGTTTAACACCAGCCTGGCCAATATGGTGAAACCCCGTCTCTACTAAAAATACAAAAAATCAGCCGGACGCAGTGGCGCGCGCCTGTGGTCCCAGCTCGGGAGGCTAAGGCAGAAGAATTGCTCGAACCCGGGAGACGGAGGTTGTGGTGAGCCAAGATTGCGCCACTGCACTCCAGTGTGGGCAACAGAGCGAGACTTCAACTCAAAAAAAATACAAAAACAAAACACACACACACAAAAACCCCTGTCTTAAATAGCTGCCATCTCTTCCAGCAATCTAGTGCCAGGGTGAGAAGTGTCTGAATTTCTCTCTTCCAGAAGATCCATCCCCTGGAGGGACTCCAGAATGTTCTCCACACAATACCCGGAGCTCTCAACCTTTCTTGATTCAGACACACACATATACACCCCTTGAGTAACTCTATCATTTTGTAGTTCACAAAGGGATGTAGTCCCTGGCATTTTGGTTTGCACTGTAGAATCCATAGCCTTGTCACTTTGTGATGCTCTGGAAATGTACCGATTTCTTACTTGGGAGGAAACTTGTGTAAGGAGATGTGCAAACCACTCTGAAAGCCATGTGCATCCTCAGCTCTTCCATTAGCCCCTCCATGAGCTTGAAGCTGACATTAAGTAGACGGAAATGCTTTTAACAAATGCTGCTCATGTGGATCTATCAGCTATTGCTTGCCTAGATGTAGGCACCCATGAAGCAGGGTTGGAATGGATCATTTTGAATTGCTTCTTCGCAGACACCCCCTTCGCCCCCATCTTTAAGATAAACCCTTTACTAGTCAAGAAGCCCTTTTCAGTTGGATCTCACTGATCTTGTATAGTGACGACTTCCTTTGAAGGAAGAAGCTTGATTATAAGTGCATGCATATTATCCACCCACCTTCTGATTTGGGCACTGTTGACCTTGGAATTTTATTTATTTTGTTTATCTGGAGGCCCTTTTTCTATCAGTCTCTGATCCCTCATGGGTTCTGCCTGCCCTTATATCTCTTATACAAGGCTCCCAAAGGGCTTTGCTGATCTCTGCACTTCTTTCCTGGGACACTCCCCCCACCACCACCCTTTGCACACACCAGTGACCAAAGTGTATGCAGTGATCTCACAGAAGACATCAAAAATGGTGCATGCACCGTGAATGTGCTCAAAGAGACACGTGCACAAGATTCTGCACCCTTGGCCTTAATCTCAGTATGACTTAAGGTGCAGGAACATTTTTAACAGGTTTTAAAAAAACAAAAAACCCTTCTGGGAGGAAAAAAATAAAAAGCAGATACAACAGCTCAACTGTTCCCACTCCTAACTCTCCACTATGTGCTTATAACTTCACATTCTATGCCCACCCCGCCACCCACCTCATCCCTGTTTTGCGTAACCAAAAAACAGACAACAAAAGCAACCTGAGGAGAGGTTTCTGGACTATTTTATCTGTCTCCATTTAGATGGAGATATAAATGCTGCTTTGGGTTCCATAATCCTAGGGGGCTATGTTTACATAGTAAAATACATCCTACCAAATCAGGAAACAGTGAATAATGGGAGTCACTTCACAGAGGAGGACCTGGGGGCCTAGCAGAGGAGGATAGGTAGAGAAGTACCATTTTGATTATTTGTGACTTGTGGCTTCCTTCTTCCTCTCCTCCTCCCTCCACGTCTCTGTTTGCCCCCTTTAGACAGAAGGTGCAGAAAAGGGCATCAAAAAGAGGCTGGATTTTTTAAAAGGCAGCTTTCCAACTTTGCACACAAACAGGTAACAGGAAGGTACAGCAAAAATCCTCTCATCTGAGACACTGTCAGCAGAAACAAAACCTGTAAAAATGACTAATCAGCTGCACATACTGATGCTCTCTGCAAGTTACCTTTAAGTGTTTTTTTTTTTTTCTTATACTTGAAGTTGCTTTTACAATATTATTTTGGTGGCTTTCTTTTCTCTCTTTGATGGGCAATAGAGAAAGTAGATGATGGGATTTAAGGACGCCTGAGGGGAGAAAAGGGAGGATGTGGCATTGTCTTTTTTTTTTTTTTTTTTTTTTTTTTAACATAGAGGTTTAATCAAACTCCCATATGTTGAAATTGCTCCTCATATTACTGGTTTTACATGGACACAGAAACTAGGCACTTTAGAGGTGCACTTGCATGGCAGGCTGGGCCCCCTTTTCTATATTTTATTTTCCTTTTTAGTATAGTGGTACTTAAAATCACTGGTTCACTTAAAAAAAAAAACAATAAAATGTTAAACTCTACTAATGTACAAATAAGCTGAAAAGTTGCATTTTATGTGTATTTTTTGCCATAGCAGGTACTGTATTTCTCATGCTGGATTTCAAAAAAAAAAAAAAAATTATCAAAAACAAAAAAAACTAAAGGGTGGTGTTTTATTGGATTGTGACAGGTTGAGTAATAAGGAATTAAGTCGTCGTCATTTCATTAAAACTGAGAGATGATGTAATGCATATATAAGAGTTTTCTGAAGGGTTTTTTTGGGCTTTTAAACAGCTTATTTTTGTTTTTGTTTAGTTTTTTTATTTTATTTTATTTTGGAAAGATATGATTGTATTATGTGCAACTCAGTTGCTTACATTATAACTACAAAATATTTTTGGGTTCCTGGAAAAAAAAAAAAGAAAAAAGACTAATAAATGTGTTTGGCTGCTAAGCATTTACTATTGTGGTTTCCTGTTTTATTCTGCCAGTTTAATTTGTTCATTTGTTGAATGTTTATATATTTTTTCTTACTCTTCTTTCCCTGCTCCACATGTAAAAGCTGTCAGAAATTCAACATTTGAATCTTGGGCCGCAACTTTTGTCTATCTTGTCATGTTTTTGTTAGGATTGTTGGGTTGGCTGGTTGGTTTGTGCTGCTCACCGCCTGCCCCAGTGCTGAACACGGTCTGCCACAGTGCAGGGTTCAAATTCTCTAAGAGAAATTGATATTCTCCTTCTACCTTTGGCTGTTGTCTCGTTTAATCCTAATTTGCATTTAGAATGAGAACATGAGAAGAGAGAAGATGCCTGCCTAGAGTTCTGCTGCATCCCACTGCTGCGATGCCCGAGGATGATAACCAGCAAGTTAGCTTTGTCCAGAAAATACCACGCTCAGTGCTCCTCTGCCCTGCTTCGGGTGCTGCAACACTGCTGAGGAGCATAACCGTAACCATTGGGCTAGATTTTCCCCATCTCCGATGTATTTATGGTTAGCTGTTAAAATAGAGACTTGTTAGATATGTAATTGTGAAACACCTCTAGAATGGTAAAGAGGAAGAATGGACAGGAACTAATATTTCCTCATTTCTAGGTACTTTTGTATCTGATTTTATTCTCAGAATGGTGTGAGAAAAATCATTAGGAAGCTCAGAATTTTTTATTTTTATTATTTATTTATTTATTTATTTTTGAGACGGAGTCTCACTGTCGCCCAGGCTAGAGTGCAGTGGCGTGATCTCAACTCACCACAATCTCTGTCTCCCGGGTTCAAGCGATTCTCCTGCCTCAGCTTCCTGAGTAGCTGGGATTACAGACACACGCCACCACACTCAGCTAATTTTTGTGTGTTTAGTAGAGACGGGGTTTCACCATGTTGGCCGGGCTGGTTTCGAACTCCTGACCTCAGGTGATCCGCCTGCCTCAGCCTCCCAGAGTGCTGGGATTACAGGCATGAGCCACCGTGCCCAACTGGCTCAGAATAATTTAATTAGCCAATAGAAGGTTACACTGATTGGGTGCTTACTATAAGCCGAGCACTATTCTAAGCATGTGACGTCTATGCATTCTGTTCACTGAAACTCACTGTCACGGGTGAAACCAAAATAGGAAACCAGATTGGAATCAAAAGTTATACCAAGGCTGGGCGCAGTGGCTCATGCTTGTAATCCCAGTATTTTGGGAGGCCAAGGTGGGCAGATCACTGGAGTTCCGGAGTTTGAGACCAGCTAGGCCAACATGGTGAAACCCTGTCTCTACTAAAAATACAAAAATTAGCCAAGTGTGGTGGTGCATGCCTGTAATCCCAGATACTTGGGAGCCTGAGACAGGAGAATCACTTGAACCCAGGAGGCGGAGATGGCAGTTAGCCGAGATCGCGCCATTGCACTTCAGCCTGGGTGACAAAGCGAGACTCCGTCTTAGAAAAAAAAATTATGCCCAAATGCCTCTGCTGAAAAATACCTGGATTCTGAGACAAGGTCTTAAAGAAGGCCTGTTGTACAAAGTGGTAGGCCATGTGCCATCCCGTCTGTCATCACAAAAAGTAAACCTTGAAAAACGGGTAAGAAGAGACACACCAGCTGTTCAAAAACATGGAGGGCCTGCCTGTCACAGGTAGGTGCTCTTACTGAGATCATTGCAGAGACTATACAGACCTTTGTGACCAAAGGCTTTGTTTTAAATTTGAATTATTTTAAAAATGTATAAATGGCTAAGGAGTAATATATTGTAGAATTAAAGGTGATTGTTAAGACTTTAGCATCTGACCCAGTTTTCCTCACCACAGATGTGTCCTTCCATCATCTTGGGTGACTTTAGTGTCCACATGGAAAATCCACCTATGACCTGGGCTTCTCAGCCCTTCCTCCAGCCCACCCCAGCCACACATACCCATGCTCACCCAAAATTGCTCTCCTCCAGAGTCACTAATTTCAGCATCCTGGACCATGACCTCCTCTCCTCCCAACTGGCTCCCACTCCTCTGGCTATGTTGACTTCATCAACCAGACCCACCTAATCTGGTTTAGATTCTGTAGCCTGTAATTTCAGTAACACACTTGCTAATACCCATACTTTACCTGCCGCTCTGTTTTCTTGACACCTATCTGACCACATTCCCACTTTGTCCCCCAGCACCCAAAAGCAGCCCAGCATTGCTGGAAAAAAAAAAGTCACTACAGGGCATATGAGGACTCCCGTAAATCCACTGTAACCTACCCCCCAGTGAGACCTTGACACTGTCCAGCAGGCTTCCTGCGTTCCTCTGATCAGCTCACTCTACCACTTCTTTCCCAATTACGTTGTTTATTTTAGAGGCAAGGTCTGTGTTGCCCAGGCTAGAGTGTAGTGGTGTGATCACAGTTCACTGTAACCTCGACCGTCTGGGTTCACGTGATCCTCCTGCCTCAACCCCTGGAGTAACTAGGATTACAGGTGTGTGCCACCACACCTGGCTAGTTTTTTGTAGAGATGAGGTCTCACTGTGTTGCCCAGGCTGGCCTTATCCTCCTGCCTCAGCCTCCCAAAGTGCTGGGATTACAAAAGTGAGCCACCATGTGCAGCTACCCTTCCCAATTTAAGACCTTTTCTGATTTCAAATCTTAACCCCCTTTCTCCCTCAACTGAGGACTTTGCCTACTAGTACACAGATAAAATTAGTTACCAGAAAAAAGCCCTCAAATTCCTGCTTCCAAACTATGAGAGAGGTCTGTCTCCCTTCTTATTCTGGTTCCTTCTCCATTGCTCAGGATTCTTCCTTTCTTGCCTTCTGGTAACTTTTACCTCCTTTACCCATTCTGTCTCCATGTGTTCACTGGGGCCCTCACTCCCTCCACATGCTCAAGTCCATCCCATAATAAAGCTCATATTCCAGCTGCTGCCTTGCCAACTGGTGCCACAGTTTTACTCTCCAGAAATGTTCTTGCTTCCCCTTACAGTCTTCCAATCTGATTTCTGCACCTATCATTTCACTAAAAGAGCTTTCTTGAAAGTCACTAACAAGTCCCTAAGTCCAGTGGACATGACCATTTGCCTTTTAAGACCACAAATCCTAGATTTCCTTCTGTGTTCTGATGTGTTCCTCTGTCTCCTGTATCTCTCACGCTTTCATCCTCTTACCTAGCCAGGAAATGTTGGGTTGCATCAGTGCTCAAACCCAGGCCCTCCTTTGTTTGTTGTATACTAGGGTCTTACTCTGTTGTCCAGGCTGGACTGCAGTGGCACAATCATAGCTCATAGCAGCCCCCAAGTCCTGGACTCAAGTGATCCTCCTGTCCCAGCCTCCCAAGTAGCTGGGACTACAGGCGTGCACCACCATGACCAGCTAATTAAATTTTTATTTTTAGTAGAGACAGGGTCTTGCAGTTTTGCCCAGGCTGGTCTCAAACTTCTGGCCTCCAGTGATCCTCCCACTTTCGCCTCCCCCAAGTGATGGATTACAGTCCTGAGCCATCATGCCAGCCCATTCCTTTTTCTTAGTTACACCAAGCTCATGCCCCCTCAAGGCTGTAAACACTTGTTTCCTGTGCTTGGAATGCCCTTTTCCCTGGATATTTGCCTGGTCTGTGACCAAATGTGAGACCTTGCCCAATTATCCTATCCAAAAATGGTTGTCACAACTCTCAGACCCACCCTGTTTCTATGCTCGTCTTGCTACATTTTCTTCATAAAATTTAACCACTGTGTAAAACTGTCTTATTCATTTTCCATCTCCCGTATTGGAATATAAGCACCAAAAAGGGCAGGTTCACCTGCTCTGGGGCCTGAAGCCTCTGTGACTTTAACCATCTATATGTGAATGACTCCTAAATTCATATCCAACCCTTACCATTGAGCTCCAGGCCTGTATATATAATTGTCTACTCAACATTTCCAAGTACTTTTTTTTTTCTTTTTGAGATAGGAGTCTTGCTCAATTGCCCAGGCTAGAGCGCAGTGGCGCGATCTCAGCTCACGGCAACCTCCACATCCCGGGTTCAAGCGATTCTGCCTCAACCTCCCAGTGGCTGGGATTACAGGCGCCCACCACCACGCCCAGCTTATTTTTCTGAATTATTAGTAGAGACGGAGTTTCACCATTTTGGCCAGGCTGGTCTCGAACGCCCGACCTCAAATGATTCGCCTGCCTCAGCCTCCCAAAGTGCTGGGAGCACTTAATGATACTGCAAACTCAATAAATCCAAAACAGAATTTGACCTGCCTGCATGCCCCACCCCCAACCCTGTGGTAACTGACATCACCATCCACCCAACAATAAAACCTAAAAACCTAGGAGGATTCTTGGACTCTGCTGCTTCCTTTCCTTCCTTAACTAATTCTTCACCAAGCTGGGTTGATTGTACCTCTTCATCTCTTTTCCTCCTTTCTTTGGCCACTTCCATTGTCCAAGCCAGATCACCTACACCATTAGGTCTTAACTAGTTCGCTGCATTAGCCTGGCTGGTTTCTCAATTGATGTTCACTCCAGTACCCTCACCTCCAATACATTCTATATGTAATTGCAGGGATGATCCATTTCAAAGCATAAACCTGATGAAGCGTGGCACAGTGGCTCACGCCTAAAATCCTAGCACTTTGAGAGGCTGAGGCAGGAGGACTGCTTGAACCCAGGAGTTCAAGACCAGTCTGGCAACATGGCGAGACCCTCTCTCTAAAAAAC